CGGTGGGGGGGGGGGGGGGGATCTACTTTTTTTATTATTATTCAGGATTTTTGGGGCATCTAGGAAATGTTTTCTATTGGTCTTGTTACATAAGTATTTTTCCTCTTTTCTTTTTGTACTTGATCGTTATATGTGTACTCTCACTCTCGTGTTTTTCTTATGGTCCATTTCCCTTCTGTAAAAAATTGGAAAAAAAGGCTAATTAGGGGTTGCCTTGGGCACAAGAACAGGTCCTGGATAGTTGAAAGGAGCTTCTATGACCCTCGGGAGCCATTTAAAGTCCACTGCTCCCATAAAAACCGCCAAGATGCTACCATAATTTTGCCATCTCAATGCTGTTTGCAAAAATGTTACCATGATTTTACCCTAATCTCCATATTTTTCCAAAACCCTTGGGGAAATGTAAAAATCTCACTTTCTGCTCCGGACTGAGAATTAAAAATTTGATAATAAAATTGCTATGCTAGATCCCATTCATAAGAGGAAATAAAGGATCTAACTTGTTGCTAACAGCAACACAGGCAGAGACGTCCTCCTATAATGAGGCAGCCTGATGCAGTTGCCTCAGGCAGCATCTCTTAGGGTCACGTGCGGAGCAGCAGGCACCCCTTTACAGGAAGAAAGAGCGTCCCAGTTTGCTAAGAGCTGTTAGCAACCTGTGACGCTCTGGCCGGCATCCTGCCCATCTCCTGGCAACCAGTGACGTCAGTGAGCTGGGCGGGATTCTGAACACCAGCCCACCCTCTGCCTAGGCACACCCCTGAATAAAGGGCACTATTCTGCACCAAAACATACAGGGTCTACTGCACTCAAAAGACTATTCTTCTCAGAAGCAGTACAGGCTGGATTCAAACCATGTTTGTTGCAGTGCTTTTTTTACGTGTAGTGTTGCATTTAAATGTAGCATGTCCTATTTTGCGGAACACACGATAGACATGCAACCCTGCAAAAAAAATTGTTTTTCGGATCGATTCTGATTTTTTTTTCGTTTTTCACATTTCAGATCTGAAATTTGATTCGGTTTCCTGTCTGGATTTTGTATATGTCCGAATTTTCCTTTTTGAATGATCCACAACAGAAAGTAACATGAGTGTGCCTGTAATGCAATCCCCAATAAAGGGAAAAAAAAGTCACATGTCCAATTTAGTTTTGTTTTGAACGAAATTCAGATCGATCCGAATTTTCATTAAACAAACATCCGAATTTAATAAAATAAGTTCGACTATCTATTGGAAAGGAAACGCAATTTACATGTCTAAACACACACCAGTGCAGTATGTTGGTGTGAACTGAGCCCATTGAAAGCTTTGTAATTTTACTAGTTTGTGCTCTGTGCCTTCCCCACGCACATGGTGTAAATGAGCCCTCAATGAAGCAGTTTTGCTAGTCCAATTTCATCTGTGCATTCCTGTTTATCTACCAACAAGATGTGAAGAGACAGACCGCAACACTGAGACATAAAACAGAAAAACTTGTTAAGGAAACTTCTATTCCTTGTCTGGTGAGCAGAGAAAAAGCATCCAGTGATGGAGGAGGAGTTGATGACAGCAGAGAAAACCCCTAAAAGTGATAGAGCATTTATGAGCGTAGTTGTGGTTTCAAGAGATTGTTGCTGTTTGTGTCAAAAGGATTACAGCTTCATAATACTTCTAAAGAGGCACAGAGAAAAATTCCAGCAGGAATGTAGTGAGGATCAGACTTGTGATCTGCTATAGGACACATGGCAATATCATGTACATTACAAAAAAGTCAGCCCAGCCAAAATTGTTCTGTCCACTCTTGAGTGCATGATGGTGTTCTGAATTGCCCATGGGCTTCTTATAGTTGCTTCTCCTGCCAAATTCTGCATAATTTGGCTACCATTCACCCAAAGCACAAAATATAAAATATTAACCACTTATAAAGTGATCCACAACTCTGCCCCCGCATATATATCTCCAACCTTGTCTCAAAGTATAACTCTAACTGTACCCTCCGCTGCTCCCAAGACCTCCTGCTCTCTAGCTCCTTCATCAACTCTTCCCATACTCCCTGCCAAGACTTCTCTAGAGTCTTTCCCATCCTCTGGGACTCCTTAACCAACCTGTCCAGCTATTGCCATTAGGTGATCCCTGAAGACTCATCTCTTCAAGAAAGCCTAAACATTGAATTTTCACTTTCTCAAGCAATTCATCCCCACGCAGCTACCACCTTTTGTATCACTTGATCTTCCCTTCTAGATTGTAAGTTATCATGGGAAGAGCCCTCCTTACCATTTTGTCTTGATTTGTATTATAACTAATGTCTCCCTTATATTGTAAAGCACTGAGCAAACTGTTGGTACCATATACATCCTGAATAATAATAATAAAAATAACATAAAATAAATGAACAGTCCCAAAGGGAACCTCCATCTTAATGGCATGGAAATCTTGCAACTAGACTTCCTAATGTTGGCCATACACTGGTAGATCTTTGAATAAGCTTTCATATAAAACAATCCCATCAGAACATTTGAGAATGTCATCAGAGACTTGTAGAATGTTGTTAACAATTTTATTTAGCTTTAATATTCGATGTTGAAATGAATGGAGTTTCTTGAATGAAAACACTCAATCACTGTTAGAATTGCATTCATGCGAGAGAAATTCTCTATCCCACTTTTTTCATATTTTCCTCACTAAAGTCAATTTAACCCCATTAACTATTAGAAAATTGAGCAATTGTTCCGAAAACTAAATTTTCAACAAAATTCTACCGGTGTATAGCCAGCTTTAGACACAATGAACCAGTGGCTGATTCAACACCCCTTGCATATCTACCAAACTGAACCTTTATAGTGCTAACTACAACATGGTAAAAACAATTGTTTACCATAGGAACAGAAACACAGGGTATGATTTCCTGTGGCTGCAGTTCGTAGTATCCCAAACCTTGTCCTTACCCCACTCAGTCCTTAAAGTGGATATAAACCCTACCTAAATGAGATTTTGTTTGTTGAAGCACCTTAAATAGTTTTCAGTCTTTTATCATCCTTTGTTACACCTCAGTACTGCTGATCTCCTGCAGTCTCCTTGAAAACACTTTCTCACTATAAGAAAGCAATCCAGGGAAGGCTGCATGACATTTCTCAAGGTAGATATCCTGATGGTGACAACAGTGATCCATTCTTGTGCAATGTGTGTTGAAATGCCTACTTGTAGTTGCTATTGGAAGCCCTTGTGACAGAGGGTCCTTCGATGCAGCATACTGGCAGAGGACAGACTTTTTTACATAGAATGTGGCTGCTTTCTAAAGAAAAGAAAATGTAAGACTTTGCACACCTTTTGTTTTGATGCACCTGGAATGTACTTAGCCACTTTAAACTGAAAGTTAAATATTCAGAAAATAAATTGAAAGTTAAACATCCAGAAAACAGCCTGTGTGATTAAGCATCAGACTTATGTTCTTACCTCCCGGGCAGTGTCTCTGTGCCATTTTACATCTTCTAGACTCCGCAATGGTCGGGCAAGGAATTGTGTCTTTTGCTGGCTTCTTCACTATCTGTCGTGTCCTTGTCTCCAGGCCCCACTTGAACCCACATGTTCTGTTATTTCTACTGCATGTTCCCCAATCACTCCAAGGTCCTACCTCACATCCATCTGGGAAAACGAGAGAAAAATATGGGGTCAGTTATCTCTTCTGTGTCAGTTATTTTCAATATTCTTCCTAATCCTTCAGTATAACGGAGCACAAATTGAACTGACATATTGTAAACTGACTCCACTTACCTACACATTCCATAGTCTCGTCCAATGGTGCAAAACCGTCTGGACATTCCTTAAAACAACGTCCTTTGTGAGAGTAATAACCGTCTTTGCACTTTGTGCAAAAGTCTCTACTAAAACAAGCATCACAATTCTCGATTCTGCACCCTGTTAAGAGAGGAAGGAAAGGGATGGGGATTAAAAAAATAAATAAATTACTTCATATACTTTTCTGTTAAACCAAATAAATTGGGCAAAGCCAACAGGAGAATTGTGTGCCCACAGACCCAAATTATAAAAAAGGGCAAGTCTCCCAGGCATATTAAGTCACTCTGCTGGATTCCTATATCGGTTGACTACAGGAATCCCAGCTACACATTAATTAGCAGATATTAAAAGGTGTAACACATTGATATTTTCCAGTTTGCTAAACCTCTTATATCTTTGAGGAATATCATCACCCCAACCCTGCAGTGTCCTAGCCTGTAACAGGGAGCAAGGAATTGCTGGCCAAGTTCATGGGTATTGGGAGCTTATAGGGAGGAAAGCATAGACACAAAGTCTGGAAAGTAAACCATAAAGACAGATGTCAGAGTTGTGTAAGAAGTCAATAACAGCAATAAAAACACAAAGACTTGGGAAACTTGGAAGACAACTTGGAGTCAGATAATCAGCAGGTGGTGAAAAGGTCACCATGAGGAGACAGGACCTGAGAAGTCCTGGTATCTTGCCAGAGATCCTGCTGGTGGGGTTGCCTTATGGAACTGATACTCCCAGGCTGTGACTTTGCCTGTGATACAGCAGTGACAGACAATAGAGCAGAGGCTAGCAAGTGACGCAAATGAAAAATGGAAAGGATAGAATAGACTGAAGAGAAAAACACTTAGGGAGTTATTCACAAAGCTGACAAAGGCAGGCGAGTGAATGACGCAGCCAAAGTGAAGTGAGACGAACGCTGTTCGGCTATTCATTTCTGGCTTGTATGGCTGAATTCAGCCGTACATCGGCTGCCTACGGCTGCACTTCGGTCAGCCGAAGTGCAGAAGGCCTTCGACTCAGCCGATCCAGCATCTGAGGGGGGGGAAGCTGTAGAGAAAAGTGTGCATAGGAAGGATAGCATAGTGGCAGAAGTCTTAAGCAAACAAATCGATTTTAGCCACCAGCCTGATCCTCACAGTCCATTGCTGGTGTAATTGAATATCTAGTTAACAAAATCCCCTCTTGTGATGGTATAAACCTAAGCAGCTGATCTGATCTGGAAACAGGTCAAATGTAAATATACAACATCTAAATACATACATGAAAATGATAATCTCATCACTGAACACTGCTAGAACTGGTGTAATCTAATCAGCCATCCAGTGCTGAGATGTACTCAGTATTGCCAGACAAGAACAGCCAGGTTGGGGACCTGACTTTTCTATGCTACAGTTATGCAACACAGGGAGGTCCCTCCTTGCTTTCAGCCTATGACTTGGCAATGAAAGTGTCTGCAGACTGATGAGATTATCGTTCTCTCCCAGCCTAAATGCTTCTGCACAGGAGGCTGATAGCAAGACAAATCTAGGTATTTACATTAAGTGACATTTAAAAATACATTTACTTATTTTTATGAACACATAACTGCATTTACTGTCCAAAAAAATTAAAATAAAAAAAGGCCACACTAATTTAGTTGGATCGCCATTTGCTTTGATTTCGGCATGCATTCGCGTGGCATCATTTCGATAAGTTTATGCAATGTCACAACATTTATTTCCATCCAGAGTTGCATTAACTTGTCACCAAGATTTTGTAGTGATGGGAGAGTCATATCACTGCATAAAGTCTTCTCCAGCATATCCCAAAGATTCTCAATAGGGTTAGGGTCTGGGCTCTGTGATGGACAATCCATGTGTGAAAATGGTGTCTCATGCTCCCTAAATCACTTTCACAATGTGAGCCCGATTAATCCTGGCATTGTCGTCATCTGGGGATATGCCCAATGTGCCATCAGGGAAGAAAAAAAAAGCCATTGATGGAAAAACCTTGTCATCCAATATATTCAGGTAGGCAGCGAACCTCATTTTTTGGGCACAAAACATCACTGAACCTAGACCTATTATTTAATGGAAGGCTCGGACCTATTTGCATAGCCAAATCCAGGTGGTGAATTTTCTTTTGGACGGGTGGTGTATATACCCGGAGTAATGCTTTAAGATCATTACTATTCAGCAGGAGCCATGACAGGCCATTATCCTCCTACCTTCATCACTGACAACTATGAAAAACAGCGGTGGAACAGCCAAATACAGCTGTTGAGTTTTAACTGGTCCCCATGTTTATTGCAGCTAGTGGAGATAAATAGTGCTTTTCCCCCCATGAAGAGAGTTGTATTTGTGATACCGGTATGAAGTTATGCTAATTGACCAGTTAAGTTATAAATTGGTCTTAGTCAAGTTCTTCTTTAAATAAAATATGTCCGCATTATAATCTTTTGCTAGAATGTAAATAGGTCAGGGAAAACGGAGTATGTGTTGCGGCAGAATGCTTTTTTTTTTACCTGGAGGAACAACGGGCACACACATTATAAATCAGGTACATTATGGGGGATTTGTGGCTCATTTCTGTAACACTATATTCAGCATCAATGCAAACTATCAGCAGACATATGGAGTTACAGCCTCGTGCATTTGGAACTCATTTCATACGGCACGATCCTCGCACTTTTGGTCCATTGCATAAATCATTCTGGTCTCATTGTGTCTGAGAAATATAGAACTTCTGAAATAACCATTTGCAAACTCCCCAAGGCTTTTTCCAATTGTATAGATGTTTTACACACACACACACACACACCTATGAATTCTGAGCAGTAAAGCAGTCTTTGTTTAACATTTTATTTATTCAATGGGTCAAATCAAGTCACTAGCCTATGCCACGGGTCAGGAAGGTCACAAATGCTCAGAGTGTGACACTGATTTCTTTGTTCACAAGCTGTAACGATGGTTCTTTTGTAGCAAGATGTTTTTACTAAGAAATGGAGTTACTTCTCATCCACCAATCAGCTTCAGACTTGGCCTTAAGCTATTAATCTGACTGGTGGCTGTGGAAAAATAATTCAATTTCCTTGTTTGAACACATTGATGCACAAGACCCTAACGCTAGACATGCACGTAGCAATTTGATAAAAAAAAAAAATGTTTTGTCTAAATTGTAATGTAAGCCATAAAATTGTTGTTTTGACCGACCTCAAGTAGATGGAAAAAACCTAACTGATTTCCATGGGACTGTTGTAGTTTTTACCCTGGCAGTTGAAAGTACACTTGGGATACTGAAAGCTTGGACCTTTAAAGCTGTGCATTCTTCATTATGAGGCAGGTTTTGCAGTCAATGGCCCCTACCACTGGGCACCTTCCCATACAAATAATATACTTACCAAGCACTTGGGCTAGTGTATTGGGTTAAATGTAACCTCATTTGATTTGTCTTGTGTGACTGAAGTTTACTTTCTTTAGTGAGCTAAGTGGCAAAAAACTATTTTCCAGCCCTTTCCCTCTTTTGTTGCCCTAAAAATTTCCTATGCCCTAGACCAGTAGTGGTCAACTTACAAGGTATAAAAAGGGCTTTAAGTATGACATGACATGACATCACTAAGGGGCTGCACTTAATATTATGTATATGTATCGTTACAGAGGACTGCCAGAGACTGTAGACATGTACATGTATTAGAATTAACTTAGATAAGCTACAAAACTTCAACATTACAGAACTCCAGTTGAATGTGACTAGCTACTACAAGCTATCTGATAATATATAACACCTGAGGAAGGAGCCCAACATATTCTGAAGGCTTGCATATTTAACGATATAAAATTAGCCAATGAAGTGTACCTATTAATCTTTTCACATTAATGGCTAGCACAGTACAAGATGATATTAAATCTTAAACTCTAAAATCCAGAGACTGCAGTATGTGTGTATAGGTGAACATTAATTAGAACAACATTTAATTTGGCAAGCCCCTCTGCATTGCAGTTAGCTTTTCCTTTACTGCTGTTCTCAGTTTCCAGACCTGCCGCACCGTACGGAAAGACTGCTAATTACGATTCAAGTTTGAATTTACTAACTTTGACACAAATAATCAGCCACAGTTTGTTCAAAGGTCATTCTAAATGATAACATGAATTAAAATGCCTAAAAAATACGGACACTTAACAGGAAAATTACATAAATGATGTGCTGCGGCGCAATGCTGAACAAAGGCAGGATTAGTGAACTATGCCAGACTTGCAGTCACATCAAAGAGGATTGGTTAAGATGATGGAAGCAAAGTGACATAAAGACATTTTTTTATTACTCTGTCTGGGAAATTTGGCAAAAGCCAACTCTAGTATTCCTTTTTAAAATCGTTTTAGAGTAAATTGGTATTTAGGGCAGCAATGGTAAACTCTGGTCCTCATGGGCCACCATCACAGCATGTTTACCACATTGCTATGTAAAAGTGCAACTGTATAAATTAAAGCGAGTCAAGACAAGTATTTACAAGAATGTAAATGCTTACCTTTTCTGCTACTCATGCCGTTGAACACTACCCCATTCTAGAGTAATGGTCACCCAAAGTCCTCTAGGAAATCAACACTTTTGGGAATGTCGATCACCTAGGTCCTATGATTTCTGCTGATGACCAAATAGCATGTTCAAAGGCACATTGCAAGTCAATACAATGGAAAGGAAAAACACTACAAGTAAGCACTAAAAACATGGTGGGACAAATATGGAATTCAGGAACCAGCAGGATTTTTTTTTTAAGGATCCAGTTCCATTGACAAGTACCACAGAAAACCTCAAAAAAGTTAGGCGCCAGCTGTAATTTAGGGAGATACCGGTTTTCGTATCAGTGCCGATACTGAGTATTTGGTAATCATACTCACCCAAATGCTCCCAATGCCTATCCTGATACCGGAACTTCCGGCATCAGGAAGCCAGGCGGCGAGTCATTACACGCTGCCCGGCTTCCTGATTGGCCCGGAAGATGGTTCCATGCTCCAACGTCACTTGGTGAGGAGGTAGCATGGAGCCAGCTTCCCAGCCAACCAGGAAGTCGGGCAGAGTGTAACAGACATGTGCATTTGGAATCGGACGAACCTGCAAATCAACGAAAACCAGTTGATTCGGCAGTTTGTCCAAATCCGAAATAACGAATGCCCAAATAAACTAAAACGATATTCCGGCGTACATAAATTCGTTTTCTGAACACACCGGCGGCCATATTGGCTGCTGGAGTGTTCTGCACATGCCCGCCGCCATATTGGAGGCGGAGCATGTGACGTCACATGATGGTGAGGTCATGTGATGTCACATTAGGCCTCCTGTAGCGGCGGCCAGATCTGAGTAGAAAAATGGCATTGTTCATGCGCGAAAACCACCTCTCGTTCTGCCGTTTCAGTGTGCAGTTTTGGATTCGGAGGCTCGCTGACTCTGAAACAAAAATGTGTTTCCTTTGACGAAACGAATAAAAATGTTTTTCTTTTTCATTTGTTTCGTCTTGAAACTATTTTTTTTTGTTGTGCACATGTCTAGCGTGTAATGACTCGCCGCACAGCTTCCGGATTGGTGGAGAAGCTGGCCAATCAGGAGGCTGGGCGGAGAGTCATTACCCGCCCCCTGGCTTCATGATTGGCCAGAAGGCCAGCTTCATGCTTTCTGGTCACCTGGTGATGAGGTAGCATGAAGCCGGCTTCCCGGGCCAGTCAGGAAGCCGGGCAGCATGTAATCACTTATTGCCCAGCTTCCTGATTGTTCGAGAAGCTGGCCAATCCGGAAGCCAGGTGGCGACTCATTACCTGCCCCCCGGTTTCTTGATTGGCCAGAAAGCCCGCTATACACCTCCATCTCCTGGTGACGAGGGAGCAGTGAGACGGCTTCCAGGCTAATCGGCGAGTCATTACACGCTGCCCGGCTAATCAGGAAGCTGGACAGTGGTTCATTACATGACGGCCGACTTCCCTTATGGGACTTCCGGTATCGGTATTCGGCATCAGCAAGTACCGGAAAAGAAAATATTGTTACACGTACTCTGAGCCGGAGACAACCGGATGTACACAGACACCCCAAGGCAGACCTGACTGGATGACCCATCTGAAATGGGCCTTACATTTTCTGTGCTCTGACTGCAATTTTTTAGGTTGCTGACAGTGTCTCTTTAATCAACATTCTGTTTAGGAACGAGCAGCGCTCACAGCTGCCAGACAAATTAGTCAGAAACAAACCTTGTTCTTGATCATATGATTGGCTAAGACAGGTAATCGCATGGCTATGTTTGTAAACAATTGTGAAGGACAAAGACCGCTGCCAGAGTATTTATTTTCCGAATGCACTCAATGTGCACACAGAATGAAATTATTATTTTTTAAGACAGAAAAAACTTTTTTCTTAAAATTAAAAACAAATTATGCACTTGCACCTTTTTTTGGTCCATACAACAGCCTTTAATAAAAAAAAAACTGAGCAGATAATTTATTAAAACATTAAAAAATAAAAGCCCAATAGGTCTTTAGAACCATTAAAAAAATATACATTGTAGGTAGGCAAATCAGTCAAATATTGTAAACTGACGTCTACAGATTTTGCTAATGACCTCACAATGTCTATTACCTCACAAAAGATTTAAGAAGCTAAGAACATGAAGTGGGCTCATTGTGATCAAAAGCATAACCCAGCAAATATGAGGGCATTTTTCAAAACTATATTGCCAATGTATACAAATATAGATTTGAAGGATGTGTTTGATTCATGTGGTAAAATTACAGCTTTCCACAAAACATAACTCTGAAGTGGCACTTGTGATCACGGCATGTATTGTGATACTTCGGGGGTGGGGAGCCTATTAGGAGAGTTTAAATACATTAAAGAATAATAAAAGTTTTGTTTGAGCAGCACAGTGACGACTTTAGAATATCATCATGAAAGGCTGAAGATTGTCTGTTAGGCTACTCGCTGTACAGTCTCTACTCTGTATACCAATTGTTGATCATGTGACAAGTATCATCCTATGATGGTGGGAAAAATCCCACAGATCATATATAGTCTTTTTATGTTATTCAATCTATGGAAACTTTTTATCCTCTTCTCTATAGAAGCCCTTAAGCAGTAGGAGTTAATTTATCTTAACATTTCATTAAAGATAAAGAAATTAGGTCATGGACCAACATATAGTCCAATTTAGATCTATACACTGGCCAGCAAGGAAATGGGTATATAAAACCCATAATAAAAGTTTAGAGAAAGACTCAAAAATGTAAAAAATTATATTTACACCTGTAGTAATATAGTTATAGATATATTTATAGATAGATAGATATATTTATAGATAGATAGAGATACACACAGAGAGAGAAATAGAAATGTATCATTTTAGTTACACACACACACACAGATCATTTTACTTATTCCTCTAGGTAGGATTTGCACACAAAAAAAAATCTGCATTCCCAGAAGTTTTAGCCCAGACCCCAAACAGAAAAATATTTTTGGTGTAGTTGCTTTTTAGTACATTTACTTGTATATCTGGCATGCACTATATGATATGCCTAGCTTTAAAAGCCTATATTATGGTACATTTTAAAAAATATGCAGAACATCTCTCCAATACATGCACAGTTCCAGTTGCCTTGACTCACAGCAACCTGCTCATACACTATGCACATGTATTGAAAAGGTTCTTGAGAGGTAGTTCTGGGAGTGGGCATGCATATATCAATAGAAACTGACCCCCTTAAATAATTTTTCAAAGCCTGATGACCATGTCAAATGAAGTAATAAAATGCAATTTCTCGATACAGAAACAAGGCAAAAGAAATAAATAATGCCGGATGAACAGGGAGGAATGGGGGTAAAATGGGGCATACACTTTAAAGCTCAATCCTTTCTATATTACATCATTTTTCCACATAGTAATTTGAAAAGTTTTTTGGGCATCAGCATTCCTGCACTATTGCATTTTAAGCCAAAGAGCAGAGAGGGTCAGATGAAATGGAATCATATATAATACAGTGACTTACTGGAACATCTGTTCATGTCAGGTGCTCTTAGTCCGTAGTATCCGGGAGGACAGGAATGTAAACACTCTCCGTACTGTCTCATCCCTTCTCTTCGCAGAAAGAAAAACAGTTTGGGTTGGCAGCGGATGCAACCATTGTCTCTTGAACATGACAGACAACCTTTGCAGATTGGATTCGTTCCATAGCTGGCTGTAAAAGAAGATATCCACAAATCAGTTTACAAAGCCACACAAGAAGTTTACATTTTACACACACTAGGAAAATAAACCTCAGAAACGTTTTACTACACTTCTTAAAAGTGAATTCTCAAAACATTTCATAAAATTTACAGACTGTTTTTTTTTCCCCCTTTTCTCAAGTTCAGTACAACAGATTCCGAGATTAAGATGAACTACAAGCAGACAGCTAAATGCACAGTTTAAATTCACTGCAATTCTGATAGTCCCTGCCAGACAGCACAGTCATGTCCTGAATTTCCCCACAGAGAGCAAAAAAGTTTAGGAAGGTCCAGGATCCGCCCCAGCCTGTGATTGGATAATGAAGTAGCAGCAGTACATTTATGGGCGGGCCCCTGTTTGTGCAAAGTAAAAAAAAGAAACCCCAAGTGGCTATGTATTAGCAGCCATTCACTCACTAAGCACTGCCGTGCAGGGGATTACAGGAGGCCTAATAAAAAGACAAATTCTGCTAAATAATGCTAGTTCTATGTAAAACCAAATTAGCTGGGATTACATAGAAATTCACTTTTAGCCTGGATTTTAGTTTTTACAAGTGTTCAAATCTGTCATCATACTCCATGCAATGCCTTTCCTGAGTTTAAAGTGTTGTAAGCATGTATGAAGTATATTAGGTGCTGGGGCACCTAGTATGTTGTTTCCTGGACAGTGACTAAAGCCGACCATATGGTGGGTGGCCCTGCCAGATGGACAAAAGTCAAGTACTCATTTCACTTTTGTCCAAGGAGCAGGACCGGAAACGGTCAGCCGAAGAGTGACTACAACCAATCAGTTGCAGTTCCTCTTCGGGTATTTTACAGCGGCGGGTGCTGGTTATCAAATACTCAAATAGGGATGGCAGCTGATTGGGAACTCTACAAAAAAGGAATCCCCCTCCATCCACACAGTTTAGGGTGGATGGAGGAGTCTGCTAGATTGCTTTTGTTCAGCCCGCAGGAATCTATTAGCGTATGGCCAGCTTAGGCTCAAATATTGGCTTATTCCTGTTGAATCATCTGAAATTAAAGCCATGGGTGCCCCTGCAAGCACGAGCTTGACAAAAGCTGAACTGGGTGGAAAATTATGGGTCAGTCACTGTTCAGCAGCACAGTGGGTGCCACGGCTGCTGTATACAATATCTGGTAATGGAGATTCCTTTATCCACGCCATTTAGCATTGATTTGAAAATCTAACAATTTTCTCCGACTGGGCTTAGCCATGTTTAGCAAGTTTTAATAAGACATGAATGGCAGCTCCCATTTTTATTTCCAGGCAGGTTCTCTTTAAAACTTAAATTGTGTTCCAGGCCTCTACTTATTTGACTTAAGCCCTCCCTTAGTGTCTGTCGAAAAAAATGATTTTATTTTGTTCCTATGTGGCCTGACATCCTTGACTGCATGGCCAAGACATATCACCTGTCATTCCCCTGTCCAGTGAGCGTGCCCTTAGTGCCCGCTGAGGTGCTCTTATTGGATAGGGGGATAGAGAATGCATTTTCTGATTAACAAGGGTAAAAACAGGCATCTTATGGTGCCTGCCCTTAACACATGAGAGCAACACCCCCCCTTCAGTCACATCAAGCATGGCAGCAATCCCCCTTCAGCCACATCAAGCATGGCAGCAATCCCCCTTCAGTCACATCAAGCATGGCAGCAATGCCCCTTCAGTCACATCAAGCATGGCAGCAATGCCCCTTCAGCCACATCAAGCATGGCAGCAATGCCCCTTCAGTCACATCAAGCATGGTAGCAATGCCCCTTCAGTCACATCAAGCATGGTAGCAATCCCCCTTCAGTCACATCAAGCATGGCAGCAATCCCTCTTCAGTCACATCAAGCATGGCAGCAATCCCCCTTCAGTCACATCAAGCATGGCAGCAATGCCCCTTCAGTCACATCAAGCATGGTAGCAATGCCCCTTCAGTCACATCAAGCATGGCAGCAATGCCCCTTCAGTCCCATCAAGAAAGGC